TTCTTGTTAACATCGCGTTAGGCTAAAATCTCGCAATGATATTTGTAACGAATATATTTCATCTTCTTCAAAAATATTTCTAGCCTTTTGGTCACACGCATCCTTATATTTATTATTTATATATTTATCCATTCATTCATTTTTAAATAATTTATTTTTTCCTTCTTTCTTTCGTTCTTTCTTTCTTTATTTATATACATGTATATTCATTTAGTGTTCTCTTCCTGCACACAAGCACTGCAATAACTTTCTTAATACTAGTAAGCAACACATAAAACCCAAAGAAGATACCTCTTTGATGCTTTTTTGGCTTTTATCTTTAATTTTATGTAAGTTCTATATTACGTGATTAGTGTCAGATGTAAATTGTACTGGGATGGTTTTCTACTTAAGGACATACGCAACGTAGCTTGAACTTTATTGTATTTTTCCCTGGAGTTGAAGAGTTCCAATACCTAAAGGAACTGTGTGCTACATTTTAATGTCTATATATGCTGTTGTACACTTCTTCTAAAGCAAGTTTGGATAAACAGAACATCTAGAACATATGTTCAGTAATTTTTGTATATTTTTCTTTAAATTATACAAGGATTTTCATAAATTGATATCTTTTCAAAACCCCTGGTAATGCATGCTGATTTTTTGTCTACGAACATCTCATGGCACTATAATTTAAAATATCTTGAAAAAAGATCAGTAGGTAAGGTACGTTGCATATGTCCTTAACTCATTAAGTTAAAATTAATTTGAAGGTAGAATGCTGCAGTATTACAAATGTAATTAAACAAAAACAGAATTAATGTAAATATATATGACAAATCCACATATGTATGTCTATTAAATGTAAACATTACAATTTTATATCCGATGGAAACGAATATTATTTCTCAAACAAAATTTATAACATACAAGTACATGTAGCACCAGTTTTTCAAAGAGGTGGGTTAATTCACTAGCAAAAGAAAAAAAAATAAAGAAGAAATTTTGACATTAGAACACTTATCGACAATTTTTTTTGTTTGTGTAAATTTGTTATTTTTCATACATCAAATTGGGAGGGTTTGAATGCACTACAACAAAAAGTGAGGGAGGAAAGAGGGGGTGAAGTGGCCTTTCTACGAAAAGGTCCATACTGAATTAACAGCCCCATTTCTTATACCGTATCATTTAAGGAATGTTTTTAAGTTTTGTGTGAGTTATTGGTGTGTAAATCACACAGACTTGTCACGTAGGCATATTTCATGAAGCGCGCTAGCGCTTCATGAATAATATGCCTACATGCAAGTCTGTGTGATTTACACACAAATAATTCACACTAGACTTAAACACATTCCTTATATTTACATTTTACAAGTTTAAAAGCACCGATAATATACTCAATATTTGAATTTCTTGCAGCCCTATATCGTTAGATTTTTATTTACGTCTCTGTAGCCTCATTGTGCCGTCACTTTAGCGCGAGTTTCTACGCGTGAGTATACACAAAAATGACTTTCAAATCAATTTCACAGTTGGCTTAGTAGAAAAACACAGCAAATGTAAATATTCAGATATGATCAACTAATTGGCATAAATTGCATATAGATAGGCAGAAGGTCAAGCTATATTTCAACAAGCTGCAATAATTTCAGGCTACCGATACTATGCTACAATTAAGCTGCATGCTCACTTTGTTCTTCCGGACAATAAAATAAAATATTCATTTGATAAGTGTTTAGCCATGACTGGAACATCAATTGATCTGATATTACAAATATAATTCTGTGGCTATTGTATATACAGGGTTATTTTCAAGAAGAAGAACAATGCCTTCCTCGCATCTTGTAGTGTTTAACTATAATTACATGTATATTGTGGGCATACTGAGGTTTTAATTAATCTTTCCCACATAAAGATTATGTATGGCATCTGAGTTGATCTTTTAAAAAATGTTTGACATATATGCATTGAATTTGTTATTTAAAGGTGCTTAGACACAGATTTGAAATTAATATTTACTCAAATTTTCTGTATAATTTCATGACTTACATGTTGCTATAGCATTTCATACGAAAATTTGATAAAAATCTTATTTTATCTGGAAGTTATTGAAACTTCGAATTTCTGGACGCGTTTGATAGACACATCCTTGCACTTTCACAAATTTTAACTTTCTCCTTAGTACTTTGAAAAAGTAGCAATTTTGCTGTTTATTAATGAAAAATTTTAAAACTATAATGCAGAAATTCCAGAGTTGAAATGTAGAAAGCAAAATCCTCTCACCAGTATTGTCAGTCCGTGTTCAGTGGTGTGTGCAGAGTGTAACAATTGAACATACCCGGTGAAACGTAAACATTAAACAACAACAGAGCTCGTGCCCTGTTTACAAAAACAGTTTACGTTTCACGGGTGTACTCTGTACACAACTACACAACACTGAGCACGGGCTGACAATACTTAAGTGAGTGGGTTTTGCTTTCGCACATTTTTACTCTGAATTTTCCGGATTAGAGATGTAATATTATGCATTAATACACAACAAAATTGCTACTTTTCTTAAGTATTGAGGATAGAGTTAAAAATTCGTAGTTTCAATAATTTCCAGATTAAATAAGTTTTTAATTTTATTTTCGTGTGAAATGCTATTGAAACATATAAGTTGTGATATTATACAGAAAATTTGAGAAAATATAAACTTCAAATCTGTGTCTAAGCACCTTTAAGGACATACGCAACATAGTTTGAACTTTATTGTCTTTTTCCCTAGAGTTGAAGAGTTCCAATACTTAAAGGAACTATATGTGCTGCATTTTAATGTCTATATATGCTGTTGTACACATCTTCTGAAACAAGTTTTGATAAACAAAACATCTAGAATATATGTTTAGTATTTTGTATATTTTTCTTTGAATTATACAAGAATTTTCATCCATTGATATCTTTTCAAAACCCCTGGTAATGTTTGCTGATCTTTTGTCTACGAACATCTCATGGCACTATTATCTTAAATTAAGAATGTCTTGAAAAATTATCAGTAAGTAAGGTACGTTGCGTATGTCCTTAAAGCGTTTTCATGAGCTTTGAATTTTCTTACAAAATACTGTTTTACTTTACAAAAGTTGTTGCTTGGTCATCTCACTGAATATGTAGAGGGTGTTGATTAATTGTTACCATTTCTAAAATATGCATCATATATCTACTGAGATACACATACTATGCAAAATTCAGAATTCATAAATTCTAATGGTTTCCAAAAAGAACCAGCATCTAATTTTTTTCCTTTGCTAGAATGAAGTGAAACCAAATCAGAAATACAAAGAAGTACGTATACGCAAATTTTGGCATCCATAAAAATTCAAATTTTTAAATGTGCTGAATTGTATCTATATTTTATGAAAAATCTGAACTAACAAAAATTATTTTATAGTCCTTATATAATCTTTACATATATTTTATTTTGAAAATAGATCATTGGCAATTTTTTGATTCTGTGACGTCATACGTTTTATTGATGGAAGGGTCATTGCTCAAGAAATCTGTAGAGGTGATATCATTAAGGGTGTTTATTGACTGATAAACGACAATTGTTTTCTTAAGAAGTAAAGGAGATAATATTCAGTGGATGTAAGTTATATTTTGATAAAAATCTTATGCGAGGTGTAATTTATCATAGGGGAAATTATTGAGAGTTAAAGTTATTTGTTTCATGAACGCGATTTGTTTTGATTTATTACTTTGACTTTGATAATTTGTTGTTAAAAATTATGTATGGCACATCCTGTAATTAATTTGTATTGGCAATTGCTGTACTTGTAGATATTTACAAAGTTACCTCATCCTCTACGTAAACCCAAGTGTTTACCCTGTTTACGTCCTGAAAAGAAAGGAAACTATAAAGGTTTATCGATTTATATCATTGAACCTTTTTTGAAGAATATGTAATGTCTCGATATGTTTATATTTGTTACCAGACCCTTTGATTGATATATACATTACCAATTATATATAACACTTAAACGTGTAAATTATGATTATATATGTGTTCATAAACCAACATTTTAAAAAAAGATATACACGCTATATAAACATGATTTTTGATGTGAAACAAAATGATTAAATGATTTGAGAGACATGATGTGTAATAAAAAATAATACTTACTACAAAACAATTAAGCAAGATCATTTGTACCGATTTACGCTTGTTATGTATGAAATAGTTTATTCTTGAAGTTCTCCAATAATATACATCAAAGTATTTCAGTAAGACCGTTCACGGTAGCTCCGTGATCGGAAAGTCGTGAGTTCGAATCTCGGCCGCGACTGACCTAAGTCGATAAAAAATAGGTAGTAACTGTTTCTTTGCCATGCGCCTGGCACTTTGAAGTGAAAGTTGCGTTTCCTTCGGATGAGACCTTAAAAACCGAGGCCCCGTATCACGGCAGGCGTTGGCACGATAAAGATCCCTCACTGCTCAATGGCACTGAGTGCCGAGTAACTCAGTAAAGGTCAAAATTTGAAGCCCTTCACCGGTATATGGTGACGTCTCTATATGAGTGAAAAATTCTCGAACGGGACGTAAAACAACATACAATCAATCAAAGTATTTTAGTCTTAATCGTTTTTAAGGATACTGGCCACAAAATATTTCAGACTGATCTGGAAGCTAACAAGCAATAATGTTTTATATATACTGACGATAATGACAATATTCTATACTAGACACCAAAAACAATAGGGAATACTCGACCCCCAGAACATGATAAAAAGATTATTCAAAGATGATAAAGCTAAATCAATAAAATACATGTATTTTTAATCTATTCAAGCATATCTAAAATATATATACAGGTATACATTAGTACAACTGCAATTTCTGACAATATTTACCTAAAAGTTAAATTCATGATACATGTAAATAATAATGATCTCAGATATCGTATACATAACTTTAAAATGTATTTTAAAAAATTTCTTTCATTATCCCGGTTATTATCATGAATATTATAACATATTCAGTGCATATGTTCCATTGTATTCTCAATGTTTTGTTTTTACATTCTAAGGACTCGATTCTCAAAACGGTTTACAACCGTTTCCCGTACATTCTCATAGCTATAGCAACCAGTGAGAGTCTGCTCCATTTCACCGAAGCAATACTTTGCAGCTTCAACTTGCTGAGGATTCTCTTTTTGAAACAAATTATATTTTCTGTGTTCATTTGCAAAATAAGAATCGGGGAATATTCTATCCAGGTACTCATTTCCTAAAAAGAATTCTGGCAATATTTCTTTTTTGAATACGAGCTTCAAAAACTTCAAGAAATAACCTAGAGCTTCGCGAACACCACTGATGTGAAGATCTGGTGGAGCCACTGTGGGTACCGTCAGCAGAAGTATACAGTACATAGCGACGGTCTTCAGATGGTATGACGTCAGCAAGTTGGCGGCATGGTTTTGTCTTTTTCTAAGGACTTTGACCAGTGCTTTCATGACTCGACAAGATGTGACAATGTAAAGTCTTTCTCTGTTTCCAAGGCACATATCAAACATATACCTCTCATACGATGATGAACAATTTCGCCAGATGAAGTCTTTGTCTCTCTCAGATATATGTGGATTCTCCTTGTTGACCCATTTCATGAGACCGAACCTTGGAAAGTCGATCCTAATGGATCCTGGATGCGTTGTAACAGATTCTGGAATCATTACAGCTTCACGTCCCAAATCAAGACCTGGGACAAAATCAACATCAATGTGGAATGGCAATCTTGAAGAAATGGTGATATTCATGGTTGGTGGTCTTGACCCACGCGTGACAGAGTATCCTTTTCTCATCAAAGTGTCATGGCTTGCAAACAACGTTTTATCCATTAGAGATTTAAAGACTTGCTCTTGTAGAACTCTGGTATTTATGAAGCATGTTCCTTGGTCCATTTGAAATGCCCCTAGCCTATTTAGTCTGGGAACAATTATCTTAAGGTCGTCACTATTGATAATTCTGAGACGCATTTGTCCTGGAATAAGTTGTCCGTTGTTATTCTTCAGTCGCACCTCTTGAATCTGCAGACCTGGGAGTTTGAAAGGAACAACGGCATCAAATTCATCTGGGATTTCAATTTTCAATCCTTGCCTTGCACCTGCTTGACGTATAAACCTTTTATCGATAGTCAAACCTTCAAAAGACCTTTGTGATTGGTTTTGGAGTTCCACGAGAATAATGTCTAAGACATCATCCACAACGGCACAAGCTTGATTCCATTCCTCACTAGAGAAATCATAACGCATTGTCTGTGCTTGGATTTGGGACTTCAGAGATTTCTCACTCGGACCAAATACGTCTTCAGGGGCCTTCCATGCATTCTTCAACAGTCTTCCTTCACCTGCCATCTCGGATAAAACGAAAGTAGCATTTACCTAGAAATCACGTGTATATATACGTTTGCACCGGAAATGTAATGTGTTCAGTATCAGTCATGCTTAATAAAATTTTAAATACTACATTTTATACGAACAATACAAATCTGTGAACAGGACATAAATTCGGACCAAAAGTAAATGTTGAAAATATAAATCTCCATAAAATATAACAGAACTGTAGACTACATACTCGTTTAATGTTCAAAATTTTTACTTTTTGTTGTCAACCTTATAAATCAATAGAAATTTTTATTCACTCTATAGAACATTGAAAAACCGTGTATGTCATACGGCTAACGTACTTTTTTTACTTTTAAAACATAGATTTAGTTTTTCATGATTTTTAATAAAAGAAATTAAAGCACATGTCTTTAATCATGGAATAATCATGCAGATATCTTGAAATCAATTATTCATATGGCCATCACATTTTTCTATCGAGCATTTCTTTGTGAAACACTTACTGCCTTTTTTATAAGTCTTTGTTCTTATCTGCCCATAAAGTGAACTCCAAACCTTTTGCACAAGAACTGAAACTAAAAATATAACATACGAGTGTAAACTTAACTATTTTTTTAATCCTCGTACTAGTTAATAAATGCCGGTAAAGCAAGTGAAAATAACAGTGAAATAGTTTGAGATTGTACTGTTCGTTATCTCCATATATTTCATTTTATCAGCCAACATTTTACCGAGTCTATAAAGTTAACATTTTGAAATAATTCCTAAAAATTTATTAATATGAGAAAAGTTTGCGGATATTATAAAACTAAAATGATATGTTCTTAGCTCGTAGCATTGGTGGATTACCGGGGGGGGGGGGGGGGGCATTGACAACGCACGCCCTCAAAATATCTCAAAGTATATTTATAAAATATGCAATATTTTATCCAAAGAAAGAAAAAAATCCAGGAAATCCGGGAGGCTTCATTAACCCATGGCCAGACAACGAAAACTAAATAGTTCATACAGTATTCATATTAAGAACGTATACAAATTATATGTTTTATGCCATAAATGTCAAATCTCTGAAAAGCTTAGAGTAATTTTCAGGGGTATCTTTACCCGGTAATTCTAGTCTGAATCATGCATGTCCCTTCTGACACGAAATTCCAGATCAACCCCTCTGTTTAATGTAAAACAGATTTTTTTTAATAAAGAAAAAACGTTATTAACTAAGTCAATTTGTGCAGTTAAATCTTTAGGGGGAAACTGATATTTGAATATGCATGCATGTGTTGATGTCAAGAATGACTCGCCATACTATGAAAAGCAATGTTTTCAGAAAATCTAGCAGGATTTCCAACGGTAAATACACTATTATCAATATAACATGCTAAAAGTGCACGCTGAACTAAATATTTTGACTCGTGCATCTTCCAACACCAGTCGAGGGGGCGTAGAATTTACTTGAATATTTGCGTTTCATTTGGATCGGGAAACAATCTGAAATTTTTTCATTAAGTACTGTACTTGACATACAAGTATTAAGTAAAGCATTATCATTTGTATTGAATTACTTGTAATACGATTACGTAAATAATTAAAAAAAAAAACATGGCCTAATCTGCTCATTCATATTAAATATTAGCGGCCTTCAGTGATTTTTCTATCATGACACGTTATATATATATATATATATATATATATATATATATATATATATATATATATATATATATATATATATATATATATATATATATATATATATATACTTATCTGGCTCTTCCAGGTTACTTTAAAAAATATTTTAAGATCGAACTATATTTGAGATTTTTTAAATGTTCATGTAATGGGTGTTTAGAAAATTTGTTTCTTTTTTCAACTTTTATCAACAACATTCAACACTAATAGATGAAAACATTTAAAAAAAATTTTCTTTTACAAAAGGAGAGGATGTGCTTTTTATTAACGCTTTCATTCACGTATAAGAACTGTAATTATTCGATCTCTGTGACTGTTTATTATTGCTATTGAATTATGCAAATAGGATGCTGTCTAAAGTTTGTCTTAATTTAAAGAAGATAAATTTTCGAATAAAACAGGCTCTGTTGCGAACTGCAACACATCGTTCCTAAAACGAAGTTTACATGTTAAAATTAACAAAGGGTTTTAAACAAAATGTGTTCGCTTTTCTTTGATATTTTCGCTATATACATTAACTCCAGAGGGTTTATGAATCGAATAATTGTTTTCAAATCGTTTTGATTTTCTTTCATGAGTACTATTCTCATGGTACAGTTTCAACCCGATTTCTTCTATTGCGGAGGTCTCATTACTTATGATTATGCTTTCGTCTAGAATCATTCAATATACATTGTTGGTAGCTGACTATGCTCATTGTGAACCAAAAGTACATGCACACACGATGTGTCTACAAGTTGTTCCAGAGTAAAAATGAATCTTAAGAGAAATAACATATTTGTGAATAATTGAACATTTCCACACTGATCAAACTTAGCTTAAGACAAAAATTCCTTTCCAAAGGAAAAGAAAATCCACGAAACAATTTAACACTTTTCATCAATTAACAAAAGTTACTTCCATTCATACGTCGACTCGATATGTCACAGTGAGCTTGAAATGAAAGATACCACAGAATCTGACACATCTGTTTTATATTTGGATACTTTACTAGAAGAAGACTTTAATGATAACCTAATAACAAAGCTTTATGATAAACGTGATGACTTCAATTTTTCAATCGTCAACTTCTCTTACTTATGTAGCAATACACCCTTTTCACCTGTATATGGTTTTTTTGTCTCCCACTTGATTCGATACGCAAGAACATGCTCTACATATGAACTATTTTCAAAACAAAGCAAGCTGTCGACAAACAAGTTGATGAAACAAGGATATAAATAGTCTCTATTGAAGTCATCATTTCGAAAGTTTAATGGTCGATACAATGACCTTGTCTGCAAATACAACCTATCATTAAGTCAAATGATGTATAACGTTTTCTCCATATTTCATTAACGATTTTTTGGTAATAAAGAGAACATTCAAACATGTGAATACGTTTATATAATTTCGTTCTGTTACAGCTGTCTTAATCTGTAAGAAATTTCAGTTGAAAATTTTAGTTTATTCCTACATAAAAAAAAAATAGTGCATAAATGAATAAAAAAAACTCTGGAAAAAATCTTATAAAACCAATGTCTAAGAGATTACTATTTACGTATGATAAAAGTGACATTACATAAATTTAATGATGACACTAAAATTAACTTCTAATAATCATAGGCATATGTTATGTACTTACTTTTGCAGTTTTCTCCTTCATGATACCTTTGTATTATTTTTTTTTTTTAAAGAACCACCTCAAATGACTGGAATTGTGATTTTTCTTAACATTATGACGTCACAACCACAAAAAAAAAAAAAAAAAAAAAAAAAAAAAAAAAAAAAAAAAACATCACAAAGACTTCACCATTGTTACCTAGAAATGCAACATTACACACCATCTTGTCCGACCTCAGGTCCATAAAACTTAGCTAAGTTTAACGTCTGATTACAGTCTCACTTTTAAACATTAAATTATATACGAAAGCTGACCTGGCTCATTGTTGATGAGGTAAAAAATTAATTTGTTATAACGAGCAAGTGCAATGTATCTCGTTATAACAAGTTTATTATCTCGTTTTAACAAGTAAGTTATTTTTATTATTACGAGTTAGCGTGTTAGATATCTCGTTTTAATAATAATTAATAAGTTATCTCTTATTGCGAGATAATTTATATTTAAATCGTTTTTAACAAAACTAATGATTTTCATTTGAATATGAAGTAAGTTCATTTGTTTCGCGCTTTGATAAGATCTTGAGTTGTCTTGCTATCAATATTTATATTTCAATAATTAAAACAATTTTAAGGTATTTACATCAACACAGCAGTGATATGACATTATTTACTGTGATTAAAACAAATTACAATTCACAAGCAGATATTTTTATATTCGGTCTTTTCAACAGCGAACGTTAAATGTATAAAACTATAAAGTAATTTGATGTTTCAAAAAAAAAAAAAAAACACTGTCATATTCCAAATTACAGAAACAGTAAATTAATTTTATCCACTCGACTTTGACTATTTACAATCTTGGCATTTCATTACTCAGAATATCAACTCACATCAACTATTGTCTTGTTATAACGAGATATCTAATTCGTTATAACGAGATACTTCACTTGTTATAACGAGATACTTCACTCGTTATAACGAGATAACTAGTATTATAATATAGTCTATAAATAGTCCCTTTATACAAATGCAAACAGTTCATAATACTACAGATTCGCTGGATTTGAATCCGTATTCACCGGAGGGTCAGTGCGCGTGCAGCAACATTGTGACGTCACAACCAATACCTCAAACAACGATGAAAACAATGATTGCACAGCCGGAGCCAGCTGTATATCGGAGCAGAAAAATTGTATACTGGTGTCTCATAATATCGCGGTACTTATTTCTTTGCGTAAAAATGTTAATCCAAATTCTTACATTAACTTTACACCAAATACTATTCATAAACCTATCAATGGCCTAACTTTTCAGTTGCTTATTATTTTCTAAGCTTTTTTCGTTTACTTTGTAGTCTATTTTTAAAACAGGAAGTCTTAATTGCCTCCTAAAGTGGAGAGTCTCATTGTATCGCGGTATTGAAAAACATGGAGGCTTGGCACTGTTACAAAGTACAATTTTTATTTTCAAATTCATGATGTAAATCTACATGAAAACTTAACAATAATAAAAACTTAAGGCTTTCAAAATATGAACTTTATTATGGATTTTACTTGGTAATATATTCAATGGTCTAAATAAAATAAAAACAGGAATGGAAATAAGTTAAATTTCGTTTTATTTGAATAAATCTTTTTCCAACGAGTGTTCCATACTTTTTAAGCATCACAAAAGTCAACATTCAGACGACAGACAGATAGTCCATCAACAAAAAGGATATGAGTTATGTATTCTTATTTTTGGATAATACC